AGCTCATGGGGATCCAGAAAATCCTGGACTCTCCGGCTCTGGTTGACCTTGAAGAGGTCGACCTGGATGAACTGGGCGAGCCGCCCAGAGAATACATCTCAGACGAAGACTTCGAAGGTCACGTCGAGGACGATGGCATTGGGGCTTTCGTTGCCAAGTTCTCCGAAATGAAAAGCAGAGATCTGATTCCCTCAAAGCAGGAACCGCCGTACTATGAGGCAAAGGCCTGGCGTACGACGGAGGAAGAGATTGGTAGGATGAAACATTTGTTTCCTCTCTTCCGTGCCGAAAACTATCGGCGAATGGCTGAGGGGAGTGCTCCGACTGATGCCAAAGCGCATGAGTCCGGTCTTCTCCCGGTTGGTGCGTCGCTTGAGGACGCGGCAATGGTAAAACCCGCCGTGTGTCCAATTGCGAGCACTTACAATTTTACTTACGAAGGTGAGGAGGTCCTGTTGGACCCCCCGAGCAGGACATATGGCAGAATCGCCTGTCCTGCCGGGGATGGTATCTTCGGGTTTTTCCCCGAGATCGCCGACCCAGCAACGGTCACCGGACGATGCTCCACAGAGGCATATATGCTTCTAGAGGTTTTGTCAGGTTCCACGGACCCAAATTTGGTAAGTGTCAAGCCTGGTGATCCGTCTTTCCGCTTGTGCGGGACGGTTCCCGACATACTTGGAGGTTGGATGTCAACGCCCCTGATCTCCATGCTTTTTGAAGCCCTACACGGGATTGTCAAGTGCACAGGCCTTGACGTGGCAAAGTGGGCGGGTGCTCTCGCACGGGAACACCCTGCCTACCCCCCAGTGGAGCTCCTAATACGGAGAGTCTGGGGGGAAGATGACCCAACAGTGGTGATTTTTGCGCGTTCCACCCTAATCGGGAGGGACGTGCCATACAAGGTTTTCAAGCGCTGGGCGTTACGCGATCGTACTCCGATCGGGCCCTTGCTGAGGCCAATGGAGGCAGCGGAGGTCCCTTACACGGGATATGTGCTGCTTTCCATGCCTGAGTATAGAGCTGCCCTCAAAACGAGGTGCATCCGGCGTCCCGGCAAATTCGCCATTCATGTCTTCCCTATGCGGCCTGACAAGATGTGCAGGGGGGAGATTCAGATCGGCATGGAGGGCGCAAAGGTGCCTCTCCTTAAGTTGCCAAGCCCCAATAATGAGGGCGAGTTTTACGTCGATGAACGTGCCGCATACATGGACAAGCGCCATGTTGTCGTGGCGATCGACCTGAAATGGCTGGCGCTTGAGGGCGCCGCGGGCATATACAAAACCCGACGCGGTTTCATTGCCGTGCGTGAGGAAATTCACGCACCTTTTTGGCGTGCATGCTACTTGCACCAGGAGGGGGATGTAATCTACATCCGACCGTGGGCGATTCGGGCCCCGGTTGTCCCGGGGGGTGTCATTTGCGTGGGACAAAGCTCCCATGCATGACTACTGGTGCAATGGTTGCCAATTGCCCATCTTCTATCGGGAGTGGGTTCCTGGGACTTCTCCGTCTCAAATCAGGCGTGGACAGCCAACGTGGGTGGACGGACTCAAAGCAGTCCTGCCCAACAGCTGGGAATACGCGGAAACGCGCAGCTGGGCCCCTCTGATGGCGTCGGTAAACCTGATCCGGGAGGTGGTCAGTTGCATGATCTCTGGCTTGCGCTGTGCGCCATACCTCGTACACAATCCCAATGCGGATATTGTAGAGGTGGCGTTCCATGAGGTGGAGAAAGCCACCAACATGGACACCCACTCGTGTGTGAGAACGAGTGATGAAGCGCTTGAAAGATGGGTGGCAAAGCAACTGCTCATCGAGGAGAGCGAAACTGGAAACCCAGTTCCTGATGGTTTGACTGTCCTGGCGTACTTGATCGACCACCCGCAACACGCGGCGCAGCGGGGACGCCACATGACAAGGAAAGGCAGTCTCCAATCTGCTTTTACCTTTTATCTTTCTGTATATATTTATGATGCATACCGCATCGGTGTTGAGGACGGTTTCCTCGTCCCGCTGTACGGCCTAAGCGCCTCTCGGGAGGATGTGATCATGTCCATGGTCCAAGCCGAGCGACGCCTCGCGGACTTCACCACCGAAGACGTTAATGTTGACATCACCGAGACCCTCAGGTTGAGCATTGACTCCCTGAGGGGCGGTGGTGGGACAATAACTGTCCCAATTGAGTATGCTGAGGCATACATCTACACCGACCTGAATAAGGTCGAAATGGTGCGCGATGGCCAAAGCGCCATCACGTTTGCGGATGCTCCAACTGGGAAGCATCACAGACGGGTGGCTACGCCTCGGAGTGATAATCGCTCCGCTTCGATGCGACCGGACCAGAAGGGCAAGGGAGATACTCGGAAGGGCAACGCCCCTGCGGGTTCCTGGCCCAAAGGAGAGGGTCCCAAAGGGGACCCGAACGGAGGCAAAGGTCACAAAGCTGACCAATTCAAAGGTCACAAAGGTGACCAGCAGAAGGGCAAAGGCGGCCAATACGGCCAGCCGTACGGCCGTGGCGGATCCGCCCGGTCGAGAACGCCGACGGGCAACTACCAGCCCGACGCTCGCGGCTCGGGATACAAGGGCGCACAAACCGCTCCCTTTCCGTATCCTAGTCCCATGTACCCCACATTCCCAATGGGGGGCTTCATTCAGCAGCCTATGGCTGGCATGATGCCACAGATGTGGGCTGGCGCAATGCCGCAGGGTTGGTCGCAATTTCCGCCGGAAAATCCCGGCGCGCAGATGAACCCTCATTCACCACACACCCCAACTTGGGGTGATGATGATGAGTTGGCTGAAGCCGAGCCTTCTGATCCCCCACCCGGGGATTGGAACGTCGGGAAGGGAAGGGGACGACACGGCCGCGGCAGGGGCAAATGATCCCCTATTGTGTTCTGCCCGCGCTGAGTCGCGCCCAAAAGTGCCAATGCGCACTCGCGGTGTTTGACTACATCACGAATTCAATCGTTGCATGATGACACACTCAGGGCAACGCTCCTGGTGTCAATCCGTGATATCGGTTAATCACCGACTTATAATTCAGTTGCACGTATGATCGTGCGCTAGTCGCGCCGATCGTATTATCCTGTCAGGTACGTCTCGTCACTGCAAGGCAGTCATCCTCGCCGGCGTCAACGGCCGCTGGTGATCAACATCTTCCTGAACCGCTGATGCAGCTGGTGAAGGAACTCATCGAGGTGCCGGCGTGATGATCACGAATGCGCTGCACCGCCGCTGGTGATGTCCTACTCGGACCTAGACCGCGGATCGCTGCTGGCGGTACCCACGGCGATTGTCCTCGAATGATCGCGCGCCTAGACGGTGCCAGTTTATAACCAAGGCTCATTGGTCCACGCACCATGTTTCAGCCGACTGGCCAATGCGCCTAATCTAATAATTCAAAAGTAAATCCACTTGAATCTGATGATTCAATGTGGTTGCAATGCAAATGACAATTCTTTGGCTTCATGCCGGCCATTCTGAAGTTGATCCTTTGTTCTTTTCTTTTTGCTTTCTCCTGTTTGATTTGACTACTGGCGCGAATCCGCCCCACACCCGTAATTCGGGGTGGTGGCGGGATCCGGGCACCAATGAGTGCCCGGGTATGGGGTCGCGAACCCTGGTAGCCTAATCGGCTTTGTTTTTCTTGTTTGTTGCAGTTCAACTTCAACACGGCCAATGCGCCTTTCCAAATTCACTCAATCTCCTTGTACAGTCGAGGGGGGTGTTTTTGGGGGCATGTACTTTTATCACAACATGTTTAATCTCACGCCTAGGCCCAATGCGGCATTTGGCTCAAGTTTACTGTTCCGGCGACCGCTCCCGCCATAACGTCGGCTAGCTGTACACGGCGCCGCAGCGACCACGCGGAAAACGACCGCGTGTTCGCCAGCCGGCGGTGGCAGCGTTGCTGGTTGTGGGTCAGGAGTTAAGGGTTGGGAACTTGCTTTGTTGCTGCTGCTCCGCTTTTGCTTGGTTAATTGCTTTGCTCGCTTGCCTGCCGCGCTCGCTTGGTTGGCTGCGCTGGTCCCCTTTCCTGTTTGGGTTTTGCGGTTAAACAGGATTTCCCTTTTGTTATCTGTGTGGTTCATTGCCAGCCGAGGGCACCACTTTGCCCTTGGGACTGGGGGGCTTAAACTATCTCTTCTTGTTGGTGGGTTAGGGCCTGTTTATTCTCTCCCGAAATACTGTTTCAAACCCTTTCGCAGCCTTGAAGTGTTGTGTAAGTAAGAAACGCGCGAGCTGGTTTCCAAAGTAGAACATGCCTTCAAGGGCCAGAACGCGAGCCGCAGAGAGCTGCAGAATGGCATTGGGTTTGGCCAAGCGAAGGTGCAACTTTCTAGGGAGTTTGACTGGCTTCTAGGGGTCTTGACCCGCTTCCAGTTGGAGCCTTGACTGGAGTTGGACCAGTTTTGAGAGAGAGGGGGTTTGATTGGTTTCTGGCGGTCTCTTGACCGTTCCAGGGGGTTTTGACCGGAGTTGCTTTTTTGGAGGGGATTTGATTGTTTCTAGATGGGAAGTTGACGGTTTCTAGGGGTGATCTGCTCGGCTTCTAGAGGGGCATTTGACCGGCCTCTACGGTTTTTAGAGGGGAGTGGGGTTTGACTGGAGTTGGATTTTGATCTTTTCTGGGCCGGTTTCTAGACGATTTGACCGGAGGACCGGTTTTGTAGAGTGGTCAGTTTTGAGGGAGGGAAGGGAAGGGGTTTGGAAGATCCTTGAGCGCTTCCCGTGGTCTGGGGGCAGACCGCTTCAAGGCGCGCTTCAGGCGGACTGGAACTGGAGAAGGGTAGCGATTGGCGGCGATGCTGTGTAAATGAGGAGCCCTTGTGGTGTTTCCATTGCAATCAATAATTTGCAAGTAGGTTGCGGCCGAAGTAAAACCAACTTGTTGGTCTCGGATGTGCCAAACTTGTGCCAACAGGGCGCCTAAAAGTGAGGGGGCCGAACAGTTTTGAGCATTGACTTGTTGTGATTGGCCCGCGCCTAAGGCTTTACTGGCAAGTCCGAGGAGGACCGATGTTTTTCCGACGGATGAGGCTTCGGGTTCGTGTGCCCCCAAGCATTTTGCCAATGCTTTAAACCAGGAAGCGAGTATGTGTGTTCCCTCGAATGCCGACGCCATGTTTCTAGTCCCCCCCCCCCCCCCGGCCCCGCCTGGCACATGGACGGGGCTCAAGTGCGCTTCTTTCCGGACCAAAACGGTCCCCAAATCACTCAAGGCGTTTGTTCGGGTCGCAGGAGCGGCGCCGCTATGCCAACCGCATCTTGACGGGCGTCCAGGGTTTGCTGAACAAAGAGCTGCTGGCCAGCAAGGACGGGCGAAACATGTTCGCCGCAGAAAAGGCGGCCTGTTGTTCAATGGAGAGAGGGCTGGTTGTTGAACGCGCTCCATGCGCGTGTCTTTGTCCTTTCCAAATCCTGTCACATCAGCACTGAGCTTTCTTTTGAGAAATTCCGAGGAATGGGCATTTGCTGGGCTTGCCCACGCAGAGTAGTCAGGGCATCTTGATTCAGAGATCTGTCGCGTCGCTGGAAGAACCAATTAGGTCTGCTCCCAAGCAATCTCTACTATCCAATACCTATTCAACTGGATCAGATTTGGAGCCATCTGCCCTTTCAAGCCTTGAAATCGACATGGGTATGTGGTTTGCAGAAAAGAAGACCAAGTGCTACGAGCCCTCGATGCAGTTCGTGGCCGGAGACAAACCCATGGTCGACTAGCTCACGGGAAGGGATCAACTTGGAGCATGTTGCGGACAGATCTGGGGGTGTCTTGTTTTGAAGGTGCCCCTTTTTTTGGTGGTTTTGAGGGGAACGCTAAAATGAAAACCACATATATATTCTTGTTCTTCTTTTTTTTTTTTGGGGGGGGGGTTCGCCCTGAAAAGGACACCGTTGTTCTCAGGTAGAGACCAACAAGATACGGGTGAGAGTTCAGGAACTTTGTGAACACACTTTGCCAATCAATCTTGCAGAGAATCTCTTGCAGAACCCTGCACCTCGGGCTTTCAAGATGCACCAGCAGATCCCAGTATGTACCTTTTGTGCCAAGCATCGATCACTCTGCATGTGTTCCGCACTCTTGGGGATCATGGTGTTCTGTTGATCAAAAGAAGATCCTAGTCTGAAATCATTATCCTGCCCGCGCCCCTATGTAATATATATATATATATGGTGTTGAATTGAATTCCGGTGGGAAGCCATCAACGAAGGACTTGTCTGCTGACCTGCACTCAGTGGTGATGACCGGTGCAGCACCGGTCATCGCATGAACATAGCCGCATAGTACGCAAAAGTGCGAGCGCATAAGCCGTGTTGAGCAGCATTATTGGGAGGAGGGATGTCTTTTGTTTGAGAATCACTTTGAATTCACATTCCCTGGATGGTTGCATGATCCTGCAAGAGCAAAAATGGGATCGACACCCTCCTCCATACTCTGCTGATGTTGGTGAAGTTCTTTGATTCAGCTTGGAATCCGTGCCAAGACCCTTTGGTCCATCCCAAATCAAGGCAGCGCCGCAGCGTGCGCGAGCGGCCTGACCATCTTTTGCGGGGAGACGCCTCTCTGACTGCAGGAGGAGATGCGTGCTGTCGGACTTCAAGAAGAGGTGCAGTCACGGGGGGTGTGGGCAAAAAAGGGTCGAGCACGAAATTGGACTCAGGCGCTTGCTGCCTTGGCCAGGCGTCAAAACCTGCCCAGCCCAATGGGGCACTCCTCAATCCGATGGTGTGCCACACATGCAACAGGTCAAGAAATCCATGTCCCACTAAAGCAGACCTGAAATGAGAAGGATTCAGGGAAGGTTTGAGGGAGACTTTGAAAAGCATGTGGACGCGTGATTTATTCAGGCTTGTTTAAGTGAATGCCAGCATCGCTGCAAATCTAGCAGGTTTTCACACGCAACGAGGGCTATCAGAAAGGGTGTTGGCCTGCAAGGGATGCTTGCTGTGACAGGTTGACAGGCCCTTGATTCACCAACCCTCCACAGAACACCGCAGGTAAAGCGAGGTCAACGCAAGTCGTAGAACCAACTGCCAGCCAATTTCCGGTGGCCCATCCTCATGGCTCCATGGTCCATTTGCGTGGCGGCCGAAACTCAATTTGGTGGCTCACCTCCGGGGTTCAAGTCCTGGGGCCGCGTCCTCTGAGTTGCCACTTGGCAAGGGGGCAAGGTTGCCCCCCGGTGCTCTTAGGAGTTTTTGTTGATTAGTAGAAACCTGAAGCAAGATGGCAGGGGCTCCTGAGGTTGCATCAGGGCGACCTTCTTACTTGATCTACACTGGGCTCTTTGAAACTTATAGGGGCCCGAAAGGAGTGGTTTCCTTTTTGGTGTACCTTTCTAAAAGCAACCAACAAGGGGTTCCCAAAAACCACCAGACGCGCCCACCTTCGCGATCATGCCTTTGCTTTCGGGGACCGGGGCAAACACGTCCAGAGATTCGCCAGGACGACTTTTTGTAGTGGCCGTTCAGCGACCCGGCTGCAAAGCGAGTCGCAGTGATGTAACCTGCGGCTGTGCCCACGGGCTGGCCCCCGCACGCCGAAGGTGATGAACCAAGTCATGGGTCTGGTTTGGCACACATTTTGTGCCGTCTTGCAGGGGTTTGAATATTGGCCTTTCACGTCCTCTTCCCCTCTTTCAGGTGGAGCTCGTCCATTTGTCTTGACAGGCTTGACGGGCCAGAAGAAGTTGCTTCCATTCTGAAGCAGTGTGCTCCGACGTTGGGCTTTTTTGGGCCCACACAGCCTTCATGAACCACGATGGGACCAGTTTCCGGGGCATGGAACTCCAGGAACGGTGACAAGTTGTGCAGGACCGCCATTTTGAGCCGGGGCTAAGAAAACATCAGAAGGTAACCCTCGGGGGGGGAGAGAGCCTGCTACAAAGGTCCTCTGGTCCGCCGACCGCTCGACTGAGGTCTTGGCATGAGGTGGGCGTCCTGGCTCTGGTACAGCACAGCTGGAGCAAATGGCGTTCTGGCGCCGATTTGATGTTCGGACTGGGGAGTTGAAGAGTTGACTTCCCAACTTTTGGAGCTGGGTTCGCTTTAGGTTCATCAAGCACAGTCGTTTTTTCCCTCTATCAGCATTCCTTTCCCGTCCGCCAAAGTCCATGCAAGTCATTTGAAGCTTGACCAGTTTCCCACATTGCCGAAGAGACGCACGGATCCGCACTGCGCCTTTGCTCCAGACCTTTTCCGGGCCAAGGGTTGTATAGCGCCCGCCGGACACAGCGATGCAACGCGCCCTATGGTGCAAAGCCTAGGCGTCTCTCGTTGCTGTCTGCCCCCTTGCCCCGAGAACGGCGGTTTGTTTCGGTCGGTAGTGTCGCGATTGTTTTCCTTTCAGTCCCGAACCATCTGTGTTTCTGCCAACAGACCAATCCAACTAGCCTCTTGACCCGCCTCGTGTGGAGACGTTTGTTTTTTTCATCGCATTGCATGGTTGGTTGATTCTCATAGAGAGAGCTGACGGCATAAAGGTGTTCTGTGTAATTGGCTTTTTGCTTCAACGGGCATGCTCGTGCCCCCGGCATGAACAACTTGTGCAGGGGTGGGGGTGGCTAGGTGGGCGGGGTTGATTTGCAGAAATAATAATCGCTACTGACACACTCGCTCCAACCTATCGCAGAAATGTATGACTTACCTACAAGGAATGTGGGGATCGCTCAGCCTCACTCCAATAAAGGCTTTGACAAGGGCCCCAGCCACAAACCTAGGCAATCATAGTAACCATAGGCCATAGGTCCCTGTTTTTGTCGTGATAGAAAATAGATGGCGATTTGTGGTAGAACATTGGCCCTTGTTGGCCTGGTGGTTCATAATCTACCAGGGAAATCCACATAGTTTCGCAAAAGGACACCTATGCAGGCAACCTTCAGTTGCCAGACGCTTTTTGGCAAAAGGGAAGCTTGTGAGGAATTAAGACCATATTGACGGCAACTTGACCTGTCCAGTGAACGGCACAAAAAAGCCGTGGTAGGAAAACAAAAGCAAAACACCAGCCCTAAAGCTTGTCTCAAGATGCCTACAGCTGGGGCAGACAAGCTGCAATGCCAGACAGGATCTCGGTGAATCGCCGTGGATTCAGGCGTTGAAAAGCGGTAGAGGGCGCACCGGTACAGGTCCCGTGAACGCCTGCCGCATAAAATTCCCAGCCGAGGCCTGAAAAGCGCTTGGGTCGGCTGACGCTCAGCGAAATGCCTCAAATGGCTTTGGTTGCAGCTTCGAACAGTGCACAAGCGAAAAGGGGTCCAGGGATAGACACACACACACACACACACACACACATATATATATATATATATATATGCTACCCCCCCCCCCCCCAGGGACCTACCTTTTGGTTGCCTCTCCAGTGCATGAATTGCCCATCTAGGACTGGGAGGAACGATCTCTCAACTAGGACCAGGACCAAATGAGACTAGAACCCAGGATCTCTCAACTGGGACTAGGACCAAACTAGGACTAGACGACCCACCTCAGATTCTTACAAAAAATGAACTTCAAGTATAACTTCCTCTGCAATGTCCTGTATATGTTCTAATTATTGCAGTAAACTAGGGAGCAACCTAACACCAGAACCAAGGATCTCTCATCTAGGACCAAACTAGGACTAGACCATTTAATTCTACTTCTTATAGTATTTGGATGTCAAGTATTACATTCTGGTGGAAAAAATGTCCTGTTTAATATTTGGTCCTAACATGGAAATTCTGACTGGATATTCTCCTTATTTCAAATTCAACTGTTCAGCTAGAAGTTGCATAGAACTTGACTAATATATTAACTACAAGTCATAACGAACTTCCTTTGTAATGTCCTTTATACGTTCTATGTATTTCAGTAAGCTAGGATTTGGCATAGAACCAAGGATCTCCCAACTAGGACTACGACCAAACTAGGACTAGCTAGTTCTGAAAGTGATTGAATTTCAATGTACAATGGTCTATTGGACAGGAAATCGTTTGTACCATTTAATTTGACATAAACAATCAATATTTAAGTTCGAATCTAAATCGCAATTTTGGCTGGAGTATGTCCTTCTTAAGCTCCATTGAACTTCAATCAGAAATAAGGTCGAATTTGATAACACATACTAAGTGGAATGCATAAGGAAAGAATCCAAAGGTCCCAAACTTGTGTCTTTCACTAGTCCTAACACTACCTTGGTCAGAAAACACCGTAAACACAGTGTCGTGTAGCGTTTTTCACACTCAATTCACATCTCCACCAACGAACGCTCTCTAAATGCTCATTTGAACTTGAACAGGATTTAATTGGGACTCAATACGGAAATATTTGGTCAGAATCCTAATGGTAATCAAATTTGAGATTGCGAGTTTGAATAGAGTTCCTTTCCCAATATATACTTGCAATTCAATATGAGCTTTAACAGGATTTGATAAGGAAAGAACCCATATTCTCCAGACAAGTCTTCTTTGCAAACGCGAGTCCAGGCCCGAGTGAAACCCATTGAGACCGACTGAAATTTCAGTTGAGCCTGGGTTCAAGATTCCCTACAAAACTTTGACCTGCAATCTTAAATGTGGGCCTAGATTGAAACATATTGAATGAATAATCAGGACTTGGATGCTTGCACAGCCGCGCAAAGTGCAATGTTGAATTTGGGTCTCGATTTAAACCGATTTAAATCGATTTAAGTTTGAATCGGGCATGGATTCAAGATTCAAGATTCAAGAATCCAGGCCAAGCTTTTCCAGGGATTCTTGAATCCAGGCGTCGATTTAAACCGATTCAAACCGATTTAACTTAAATCGAGCATGGATTTAAAGATTCAAGATTCAAGAATCCAGGCCAAACTTTTCCAGGGAGTCTTGAATCTTGAATCTTGAATCCATGCCCGATTTAAGTTAAATCGGTTTAAACCGGTTTAAATCGACGCCTGGATTCAAGAATCCTGGAAAAGCTTGGCCTGGATTCTTGAATCTTGAATCTTGAATCCATGCCCGATTTAAATTAAATCGGTTTAAATCGGTTTCAATCAATCCTGAAGCTTCCAGAACGACCTTGGAAATGCTTCTTTTTCATTGCTCTCCCCAAAGCCCTAAAAAGGGTAGAAAACACTGCAAATACCAGTGAACTCATCAAAAAGGTAGGTCCCTGGGGGGGGGGGTACCATATATATATATATATATTTGTTCGACCTATCAGCTTGAGTTTTGTTTTGTCATGGCATCATGTCAGGGCGCCGTGCACATGGCAGGCTGCGTACCTGCCAGGTAACGTGCCCGATTTGGGGCAATTCAGGGAAGCTTTTGGAAGCCCTCGAAGTCATGACAGGGGATCAAGGCCTTCGCTGTTCAATTGCGACTCGAAGGAGTCGCAGTCAACATTGGGTATGGCTTATGCAAGACAGCCGGCAGGACGTCGGTACTCACAAGTCCCCTTGGTTTGGGGGGTTTCAACATCACCCTTTGCGCCAATTTGATTTGATTCTACATTTGCCGCGGTGTGTATCGGCGGTGGCTGTTATGAACAAACTCGGCGGGCCAGCCTCCTGAAAGCCAGTCTTTGGCCTCGATCAATCGCCTTAGCGAAAGCTGGGAGCTGAAGAACAGCGCTAACAGAAGGCTGGGGGCGGAAGACAAGCTTTGGAGGCTCGCGAGACATGTAGGGGCCAGTTTCCCTTTTTGCCCATTGACTTCATGCTTTGTGGAGGACAATGGCGATGTGGCAGCCTTGCGCGTTAGATTGTTTTGGCTCATTTATGTAGATGGACAGGCAATTGTCCTTGTTTGTCTCAAATGCTCTGGTTGGGGCTTTGCTTGGGCTCGGTGCGTCAACGACCCCAAAATTCATATTCCAAGCCCAGGGAATCCTGGCTCGGGATAGCCACTTCAGACAGCACAGAGGAACAATTAGTTCTAAGAGCGGGGTGCAAATTTTCGTCTCATGTTGCAGTTCCACTCCGAAGACACCAAGATTCGGTGCCCAAGGAAGACACCAAGATTCGGTGCCCAAGACCCCCACCTTGTGAGCCTATTCCAGTAGCCGCACTGGTAACCTGGTAGTTTCTGATTGATCGCTTGACTGATTCGACGTGTCTGGGGGCCATCACAGACCACCGGCTTTCCAGGATCCAACTCTCTACTTTCATGATGCAAAGGTCGCATCCATCCAAGAGACCTATGACAAAGAAAGCAGATTGAGGCTGGAGAAAGGACATGCCGACACGCAAGCTATCTCTGTAGGGAGCCTTAGGAAAGCGAGGTGGGTCCGGGGTCCGACCACAGCCCGTACCTCCAAAGACCCGTCTTCGCGACCTTAGCCTGCTTGCCTGCTGAGAGCGGAGGTGTACCAAGACGGCAACTGATCCGTGTCCAGTTTGTTCTTCCAAGGGGCTGACCCATAGATGTTGGTGGAAATCCGGTCCAGGGGGTGCGGACACATGTCCAAATCAGCCCTTCCAACGTGGTGTTGGCAGTGCGCCCGGTTGAA